CCAGCCCTAAGAAGCTCATCCCAGCGAGGGATCTCACTAGCCCCAGGGAACTGCCGACGCCAAGCGTCCGTCAGGCGGCCAAAGCAGCGCTGGGTGGCGTGGGCACCCCCACACTGCTCACCCGCGCGGTCGCCGGAACGAAGAACGTAGGTGCAGGGACCAGTACCCCCACCCCTCTGACGCCCAGCGTACCACTCACGAAGCTGCTGAGGCGGAGGGATGTCCCGCGAGCGCTGCTGCTGCTGCCGCCGCGAGCGGTGGCCACCACCACCGCCGCTACGCTGCTGGGTACCACCCCGACCAGCTCCACCTCCTCCACCACCACCGCCTCCTCCGCTGCCGCCTCCACCGCCTCCACCTCCGCCGCCTCCACCTCCGCCGCTGCCTCCACCACCACCGCTGGCACCACCACCGCCGTCTCCGCTGCTGTTGCCACCACCACCACCACCACCCCCGCCACTAGTCCCGCCACCACCCCCACTCCCTCCGCCGCCACCGCCGCCACCGCCACCGCCCCCTCCAGCCCCACCCGCGCCCTTGCCCCCCTTGCCCTTGCTAGAGCGACGTCTCCCACTAGGGGTAGACGCCGCGCCGACCGACTCAAGACCAAGCAGGTCGGCAGCAGCAGCAGAGGCAACAGAGGGCAGCAAGGGGGAAGGAGAGCACCCCTCAAAGATGGGGGTGCGAGGGTCACCACGAGAAGCACCTACAGCGACTATGCTCTTCTCCGCTGCGAGGAGGGCCTTCTCGAGGAGGTCGACGGTGAGGGTGGTGGGACAGACAGCGAGAAAGTGGTCCCTGACGACGCGAAGGGAGTCAGGGAGGCGCGCGACTACGTAGTAGAGAGCGATGTACATGGGGGGGGGGTTCTTAGCGCAGAACTCAGCAGGAAGGGCGGCGCGGTAGCGAGTGTCACTAGTGCGGAGGTGCGTAATGAGGTCAGCAACAGTGGGAAAGGCAGAGAGGTCAGGAAAGAGGTAGGGAAGCATGAGACGGCTCAGTGCAGCAGTGGCAGGGGAGGAGTAGCGCGCAACTACAGCGTCGTACAAGGTCTGAGCACTCTTGTACTGGCTAAAGTGCGCACGCTCAGAGGTAGGGAGGTGGCGACGCACAGCGAGACGTGCAGCAGCATCGCGGGTGGCCCACTGAGAGCGGACAGAGGGATCAGCATCAGCAGCAGGAGCAGGAGAGGCGCCAGAGGTGAGGTCAAAGAGAGAAAGGTCGTCAGCCCTGTCGCACTGTAAGAACAGCTGCAGGTCGTCTAACCAGACCTCAAAATCAATGGCGCGACCCTCAGCGTCGAAAGCTAGGACACTAGGGGTAGCCATGGCGACGACAGCGACGCAGTGCAAGCAGTAGGGAAAGAGCTCGCAGTGTCAGTGGGACTGTGCTCACCAGGCAGGGCAGGTCGTGTAGCTCTGCAGAAAGGCGGCTCAGCGACCGGGTGGCTCGGGTGCACAGCGGCTCGGCTCCCGGGCGGCTCGGTGGCTGGGCGGCTCGGGCGCTGGGCGGCTCGGCTCCCGGGCGGCTCGGCGGCTGGGCGGCTCGGGTGCAGGGCGACTCGGCTCCCGGGCGGCTCGGCGTTGGGCGGCTCGGCTCCCGGGCGGTTCGGCTGCTGGGGCGGCTCGGCCGGGAGATGCAGGGGCGGGGCCGTCAGGTGCAGCGGCGGGTCGACCGGTGCAGTGACGGGCCGGCAGGTGCAGCGGCGGGCCGGCAGGTGCAGCGGCGGGCCGGCAGGTGAAGCGGCGGGCCGCTGGGTGCAGCGGCGGGCCGGCAGGCACAGCGGCGGGCCGGCAGGAGCAGCGGCGGGGCCGTCAGGAGAGGCGGCGGGCCGTAGGGTGCAGCGGCGGGCCGTAGGGTGCAGCGGCGGGCCGTAGGGTGCAGCGGCGGGCCGTAGGGTGCAGCGGCGGGCCGGCAGGTGCAGCGGCGGGGCCGTCAGGCGAAGCGGCGGGCCGTTGGGTGCAGCGGCGGGCCGGTAGGTGCAGCGGCGGGCCGGCAGGTGCAGCGGAGTGCCGGCAGGAGCAGCGGCGGGCCGGCAGGAGCAGCGGCGGGGCCGTCAGGTGAGGCGGCGGGCCGTAGGGTGCAGCGGCGGGCCGTAGGGTGCAGCGGCGGGCCGGCAGGGCCGCGTCAGAGGCGGCGGCGGGGCCGCGGCAGTAGAGGCGGGGCCGCGTCAGGGGAGGCGGCGGGGCCGCGTCAGGGGAGGCGGCGGGGCCGCGTCAGGGGAGGCGGCGGGCCGCGTCAGGAGAGGCGGCGGGGCCGCGTCAAGCAGGAGAGGTGGCGGGGCCGCGTCTGAGGGACAGCGGGGCCGCGAGGGAAAAGGCGACCCGAGGGGTCGCTAAAAAAAAAAAAGGGCGCGCCTCGGGGCGCGCTTCGGTGGGCCCTAAAAAAAAACGGTCCTAAGGCAGGACCCGCTCTATACCATGTGAAACAGGAAAACAGGAATGGATTGACTAAGGAAAGATTGGGTACAAATACAACCCTAGAAAGCAGTACCCCATATGTGCTACCCCACTATAGCCTACAAACATGCATGAGCTATAATACTCTGACAGCTGTCGCGCGCTCCGAGCGCGCTACCCTTTCTTCCTGCCGAAAATTTTTCTACCCGCCGCGCGTCTGGTGCGCGCGGCGGTTTTCCTGTGTGGCACGCGCCCGGGGGGCGCGCGGCCTTTTCTTCTTCCTGGCGCCCCCTGGTGAGCCGCGCGTGTCAGAATCCCAGCCACTAGACCACTGGGATAAAAGGGATTGTTAAGTAGCGTGTCAGTGCGCCCATAACCCCCTAGGCCAGCGTGCCTGTAACCCTTCCCTAGGATCAATTGGGGATCACCAGTGGACCTCTGAAACCCCCCCGCACTGGGATGCCCAAAGTGCATACACAGGGATTCGAACCCGAGACCTTCGCTCTGACACCATGTCAGAATCCCAGCCACTAGACCACTGGGATAAAAGGGATTGTTAAGTAGCGGGTCAGTGCGCCCATAACCCCCCAGGCCAACGTGCCTGTAACCCTTCCCTAGGATCAATCGGGGATCACCAGTGGACCTCTGACAGCGCGCTGCCCCCGCCCGTCCGTCGCGGCGCCCTGGGGAGTTGCGCGCGGCCCCCGCCTGTCTGTCGCGGCACCCTGGGGAGCCGCGCGCTGCCCCCGCCCGTCCGTCGCGGCGCCCTGAGGAGTCGCGCGCGACCCCCCGCTGCCCCGTCGCGCCGCCCTGGGGAGCCGCGCGCGGCCCCCCTGCTGCCCCGTGGTGGCGCCCTGGGGGCCGCGCGCCGTCCCCCCCGCTGTCCCCCCGCGCTCCTGCCCCTTGCAACCCGATTTAGGGTTTTGGGCTGAGGAGTGTGGGGGTGGTGGTTGTGGGGGTGCCCGTTGTGTGCGCCGTCCCCTACTCCTCCTCCTCCTCCGTCTCCCGCTGCTGCAGGTGCCGCTCAGGGGGGTGTGTGTGTGGGGAGCCGAAGGAATGGTGCTAGGGGGGTGAAGGGGGAGTGGAGCTAGGGGTGAAGCAGGGGGTGTGTGTGAGAGGGGTGTGGGACGGTCGGAGGAGGTTGAGTGGAGGCTGCTGTCTTGTCGTCCGCAGCACCTGTAGTCTGGGGCGCACTGTCCTGGTAGCCCAGAGAGTCTGCTGCGCCTTTCGCCCGTGGGTCCGTTGCTCCTGTAGCTCCTCGTAGCGCGTGAGCCAGTTACTCCAGTAGTCCGGGGCGCTATCTCTGTAGCCACTGTGCCAGCAGCTCCTGTTGCCCGTGTGTCTGCAACTTCAGCCATCGTCTCCCATCTTCTATCCTCGCACAGTCCCTCCTCCTCTTCACTTGCCCGCTGTGAATACCTCTAGCTTTGCTTATAATTGTGAACTATTACTATGCTTGCTTGTTGTGCTGATTACACCCCACTTCGGCTATGGGGGTGTGTCAGAATGTTATAATTGTCTAGCCTGCAATGGGGTACTCCATAGTGAGTACAGCCCAATTAGGGTTTGCTATATGTATCCAACTGCTTGCTAGTGAACCACCTCCTTTCTTCATTCTTACTTTCTACTGCTAATTCTGACAAATAACGAGTTTTTTTTTTCCTGCCCGGAGCGCGCTTAGCCCCTGCCCGAGTCGCGCCCTGTGCCTCCTCTCAGTGGCCTATTGTGCCCCCTCTCACGGCCCCTAACAGCCCCGTTGCGCCGCCCTTACGGCCCCGTCGCGCCGCCCTAGCGACCCCGTCGCGCCGCACTCGCGGCCCTGTCGCGCCGCCCTTGCGGCCCCTTAGCGGCCCCTCGCGGCCCTATCGTGCCGCCCTCGCGGCCCCTTAGCGGCCCCTCGCGGCCCCGTCGCACCGCCCTCGCGGCCTCTTTGCGGCCCCTCGCAGCCCCTTCACGCCACCCTCGCGGCCCCTTTGGGCCCCTCGCGACCCCGTCGCGCCGCCCTCCCGGCCCCGTCGCGCCGCCCTCGCGGCCCCTCACAGCCGCTCGAGGCCCCTTCACGGCCCCGTCACGCCGCCCTTGCGGCCCCGTCGCCGCCCCCCCCCCCCTCCTCCCCTCGGCCACGTCGCCGCCCCACAGCGGCCCTGTCGCCGCCCTTCAGCGGCCCCGTCGCCGCCACTTTAGTGGCCCTGTCGCCGCCCTTCAGCGGCCCCGTCGCCGCCATTCAAGCGGCCCCACCGCCGCCCCTTCAGCGGCCCCGTCGCCGCCCTTTCAGCGGCCCCGTAGCCACCCTTCCGTGGCCCCGTCGCAGCCCCTTTTAGCGGCCCCGTCGGCGCCCCTTGCCGCCGTGCTGCCGAGCCGCCCTTTCCGCCGAGCTGCCGGGCCGCCTTTGCCACCGAGCCGCCGAGCCGCCGTTGCCGCTGAGCCGCCGAGCCGTCGAGCCGCTGTTGCTGCTGAGCAGCCGAGCCGCCGAACCGCATTGCAGCTGAGACGCCGCCACCTACCAGCCTGCCCCGGAGCGCCTCACTTGCCTGGTAAGAGCAGCGCCTCTACCACTGCCCTGCCCTACCCCACTGTGCTCACTGCCTCTCTACTGCTGTCATGGCCACCCCTAGTGTTCTCTCCTTTGACGCTGAGGGTTGGGCTGTTGACTTTGAGGTCTCGGTAGATGATCTGCAGCTTTTCCTACAGTGCGATAGGGAAGACGATCTCTCCCTCTTTGACCTCACCTCTGGTGCCTCCCCTGCCCCTGCTGCTGATGCTGACGCCACTGTTCGCTCACAGTGGGCCACGCGCGATGCTGCTGCCCGCCTTGCTGTGCACCGCCACTTACCGACCGCTGAGCGCGCGCATTTTAGTCAGTAGAAGAGTGCTAAGACCTTGTACGACGCTGTAGTTGCACGCCACTCTTCCCCTGCCACTGCTGCTCTTAGCCGCCTCATACTGCCGTACCTCTTCCCTGACCTCGCCGCTTTTCCCATAGTCGCTGACCTCATTACGCACCTTCGCACTAGTGACATTCGCTACCGCGCTGCGCTTCCTGCTGAGTTCTGCGCCAAGAACCCCCCCCCTATGTACATCACCCTTTACTCCATAGTCACCCGGATCCCTGACTCCCTTCGCTCGGTCAGGGACCACTTCCTCTCTGTTTGCCCCACCACTCTCACCGTTGACCTCCTCGAGGAGCGCCTCCTAGCAGCAGAGAAGAGTATAGTTGCTGTAGGAGCCTCTCGTGGTGACCCTCGTACCCTTGTCTTTGAGGGGTGTTCCCCCTCCCCCCTCTTGCCCTCTGTTGCCTCTACTGCTGCGGCCGACCTCGTTGGTCTTGAGTCGGTCGGCGCGGCGTCTGCCCCTAGCGGGAGACGCCGCTCAGGCAAGGGCAAGGGGGGCAAGGGCGCTGGAGGAGCTGGAGGGGGCGGTGGAGGCGGCGGTGGAGGCGGAGGAGGGGGTGGGGGTGGCGGTGGGAGTGGTGGCGGGGGTGGGGGCGCTAGTGGCGGCAGTGGAGGCGGAGGAGGCGGCGGTGGTGGCGGTGCGGGCGGAGGTGGCGGAGGTGGAGGCGGTGGTGGAGGTAGCGTCGGCGGAGGTGGAGCTGATCGGGGCGGCGCTACGCAGAGGGTAGGCTCTGGTGGTGGTTAGCGCCAGCAGCAGCAACAGCGAACTCGTGAGACCCCTCCCCCCCAGCAGCTTCGTGAGTGGTACACTTCTCGTCACCGGGGTGGGGGTGCTGGCCCCTGTACCTACGTTGTACGTACCGGCGACCGCGCGGGTGAGCAGTGTGGGGGTCCGCACTCCACCCAGCGCTGCTTCGGCCGCCTGACGGACACTTGGCGTCATCAGTTCCCTAACGCTATTGAGATCCCTCGCTGGGGCGAGCTGTTTAGGGCGGGTGTTCCGATCTTTGATCTTGACTATGATGCTATTCTTGGTGCCATGTATGCTGTGACTATTAGTGATGAGGGTGACTGGTACCGGTGTTTTCCGCCTGACCCGAGCATTGAGGGTGCTGCTCTAGGTGCTGGTGAGGCTGCTGCTCTAGGTGCCAGTGAGCGTGCTGCCCCAGGTGCTGGTGAGTCTGCACTCTCAGGTACCGCGTCGGCTCCGGCCACCCACACCTTCACCCTTGACTCGGGTGCTTCCCGCTCCTTTTTTCGAGACCGCACCACCCTCACGCCGCTTAGTCGGCCAGTTGCAGTCTTCTTAGCAGACCCCTCTGGGGGTCCTGTCCTTGCCCACTTCTCTACTGTTCTACCGTGTCCGGCGGCCCTTTCTGGCACCCTGTCGGGTCTTTACCTCCCCTCGTTCTCTACAAACTTGGTGAGTGGTGCTGACCTCCAAGATGGAGGGGTTCACCAGTTCACTCCTGCGAGTCAGCGAGTGACCCACTGTACCTGTGCTCGGACGGGCCGTCACTTGGCCACGTTTACCCATCAGCCGGGGTCGAGCCTGTACACACTGACTACTGAGTCTCCTCCGGTCGCTGAGTCTGCTCAGGTAGCCGCGTCGCGTCAGGTGTTTGCTACGACGTCCAGGTCTGGTCCTGAGTCTACCCCCTGCTCGTGTCGTCTCCTGTCTCACCAGACTCTCCTCTGGCACCACCGCCTTGGTCACCCCTCCCTGCCTCGTCTTCAAGGCATGGCCTCCCGTGTCCTTGTCTCTGGTCTCCCCCGGTCCCTCCCTCCCCTTCCTCCGGGGCCTGCCTCCACCTGCGTTTCCTGCGTCGAGGGGCGGCAGCGCGCTGCTCCTCAATCCTATGAGTTTCCTCCGATGGAGGAAAGCCAGCCACCCCACTGCCTTCGGGCTTCACTGTGGAGCCCTGTGCTGATGAGGAGGTGGTGGGTGAGAGTGACAGGAAACTTTTTCATTCCATAGTTGGGGCACTCAACTATGCGGCTAACCACACACGGCCTGACATTGCCTTTGCAACATCCAGGCTTGCCAGTGTGGTTTCACGCCCCAGTCATGAGCAGCTGGAAGCGGCCAAGAGGTTGGTCCGCTATGTGAGTGCAACGGCATCAGTGGGTTTGGAGTACAGTGCGGTGAGGCAGAGGCTACAGAGGGGTGCAGCTGATTTGAGCAGGGGGGAGATGCTCCTGACCTGCTACACAGACGCTAGCTTCAACTCGGTGAAAGCGGATGGCACCAGCATTGGAGGCTATGTGTGCCTGTTCGGAGGTGGTGCAGTGAGCTGGCGCAGTAAGAAGCAGAATGAAGTGGGGCAGTCCTCGTGTGAGACAGAGTACATGGCCCTGCATCATGGGGCAAAGGAGGTGGTGTGGCTGAGGCGTTTGTTGGAGGAGATTGGAGTTGGTCAGAGGGAGCCGACTGTGATTTTCTGGGACAATGAGTCGGCGGTGAAGCTAGCGAAGAATGCGTGTCTTCATGGGCTGACCAAACACATCAGGCCTAAGTGGCTCCTGGACAAGGAGGTGCGGCTGGAGATTTTGAAGACCCATGAGCAGGCGGCTGACATTCTCACCAAGCGCTTGGCTGAATCTGAGCATTGGAAGGGCATGAAGCTTGCTGGGATGAGTGTGCATTGAGGATGCATGCTTGAGCTATGGCATGTGGGATGATGGTTGGCAGCCAGAGGGGGAGTTTTTTGAGTGATGCTACCATTCGCATTCACGTCTGTCTGCCTCCCATCATATGTTTGTGCGTTGCATGCGTGTTGTGAATGTGTGCAAGAATTTGTGTTTTGTGCGGTTTGGTTTTTCTGAGTGTGTGTGTGAATGTTATTTGGCTTGAGCAGATATCTGAAGTGACTCCTCTGCTCAAGAGCTTTCCGAGGAACCAAGTATCGCTTCAATCAAGTTACGAACGTTGGAGTTCGTATGTTTTTGCTATTTGGTTGTGGTGACTATGGGAAGTTGTGGGGTTGACTCAATATGGGGTACAGACTTTTGGGGGTTGGGAAATTCGTCTTTTCTACTGTAGTTGCTGCCAAATGGTTGGGAGAAACCAAACCAGGTTGGCAAGTGTGGCCAAGTTGGGTTGAGGTGGATTGTGGAGGTTGGGATAGTGACAAAGGTCAAAGTTGGGTTGCCTATGGGGAAGGGAATTGTATGGCATGGAGTTTCCTTGGTTGGGGACTCTCTTGGGACCTTCTCTCTCGTCCTCCTCATCCCTTCCACCGGGTTTAGTGCTACTCCAATTCTCTTGTGTGAACTTTGTGATTGAGTTAAGATTCTATGGCAGCATACCCCCTAGTGCGCTAAAATCGATAACTCAAGACACACTTCACCTTTCCGTACGATTCAACTTGGGAATTCTAGCCACGGAGTAGAGCTACAATATATCTGAGTTTGGTGAAGTTTTAATAGTAAAATTTCCGTCGACGGCGTTTCTTGTGAACTCGACTTTTCTGTTCAGAAACTAGGCCCAACGATGTTGAGATATTTTGGCTCCTAATCTTCATAGACTCTGTCCTTAGTTTTTAACACGGTAGACCCCCTCCCCCCTCAGGGTCCTGCCCCCTCAGGTGTGTCTCAGGTAGACGCAGTCGAGCCTGTCGAGGTAGCTGTTGACTCTGGTGGTGCTAGGGGTGCTGAGCCTGCGGGTGCTGGGTCTGGGGGTGGTGACTCTGGGGGTGCTGCGCCTGGGGGTGCTGAGCCTGGGGGTGCTGACTCTGGGGGTGCTGCGCCTGGGGGTGCTGAGCCTGGGGGTGCTGACTCTGGGGGTGCTGCGCCTGGGGGTGCTGAGCCTGGGGGTGCTACGCCTGGGGGTGCTGCGTCTGGGGGTGCTGAGCCTGGGGGTGCTGCGTCTGGGGGTGCGAAGTCTGAGGGTACTGGACCTGCTCGTGTGGCGTCTGGCGGTGCTAGGCCTGGAGGTTCTTCGGGTGCTTCGTCCCGGCGGGAGCTACTCTCTCAACAGGAGCTGCGTGAGTGGTTTGCCCGGCGCTGGAGGCAAGCTGCTGGAGCTAGAGGTGCTGCGGGTGCTGGAGGTTCTGCTGCTGCTGAGGGTGCTGGTGCCGCCGGTCCCGGAGGTGCTCGTACTGGGAGTACTGGAGCTGCTGGGCCTGCGGGTACTTCTCGTACTAGAGCTGGTGGTGCTGCGGGCGTCGGTGCTACTGAGGGTGCTGGAGCTGGACCCGCTGCGTCTTCTAGTGGTCCGGCTGGAGCTGGAGCTGCTGGGGGTGTTGGCGCTGAGGGTGCCTCTGGTGCTGGTGCCTCTGAGGGTACCGGAGTTGGCGCTGCTAGAGCTGGGGGTGCTACTGGCGCTGGTGCTGTCGTTCGGGGTGCTGGTGGTGTCCCTTCTGGTGCGGGTAGTGTTGAGCGGCCACGGCCGTACTTCGTTCCGCTCCTTGAGCAGGTTCTTGGTCTTCCGCCCTCTGCTAGTCCGGCTCCTCCCTTAGAGTGTCCACTGCCTGTCCAGTCCGAGTCACAATTACAGCCTACCTCTCCTCTGCCTGCTCCTTCTCCTTACACTGGTCCTACTGGAGGTCTTGCTGAGCGTCGTGAGCCTGTGTCTCGTCCTGCGTCGCCTGTCCGTGCTGCTCGCACTAGTAGTCGTGGTTCGTGTCAGCGTCCTCCCCCTGTCCCCGGCACGCACCGGATGTCTCTGCGTCCCTCCACTGCTCCGCTGCGTGCCCCTTTGCCTTCTCCTTCTGAGTCCTCTCTTCCTGTTCTTGCTGACCCGGAGTCGGATTCCCTTCGTGCTGCTAGTCCTACTGTCACGCGTCTCCTTGCTACTGTCGTCACTGACCCTTCCTTTGAGTCCGCTGCTGCGTCTGCCTTAGTTTCCGAGCTTGTCGACTTCGCTGCTCGCTGTCGCCTAGACTACGCTGCTAGTCTTGTCGCTGAGTCTGAGTCTGTCTGTCCTCCGTCCGTCGGGGGTGAGTGTGCCCTTGGCACGGACGTCCTTGAGGACAGGCAGGAGGAGTTCTAGTGCTTTTCTGCTGCTTCACCTCATCTCGTGTCCATGCTGCTTGCCCCTGAGGGAGACCCGGATGCACCAGACATCCCGACTCCGCGCTCTTACGCGGAGGCGATAGAGGGTCCCTACTCCTCTCAGTGGCAGGCAGCCATGGATGCAGAGATGGCTTCCTGGAAGTCCACAGGCACCTACATCGACGAGGTTTCTCCTCCTGGGGCGAACATCGTCAGTGGCATGTGGATTTTCAGGGTGAAGCGGCCGCCGGGTTCTCCGCCTGTCTTCAAGGCGCGCTACGTGGCTCGTGGCTTCAGTCAGCGGCAGGGAGTTGACTACTTTAAGACCTTCTCTCCCACCCCGAAGATGACTGCTGCACATAGCCGCTCACCATGAGTACGGGCTTCACTCTCTTGACTTCAGCACTGCTTTCTTGCAGGGCAGCCTGCACGAGGAGATCTGGCTGCGCCACCCACTTGGCTTCACTGGGTCGTTTCCTCCTGGTACCCAGTGGAGCCTCCGGCGGCCAGTCTACGGTCTCCGCCAGGTACCTCGTGAGTGGCACGACACATTGAGGACTACACTTGCGGCACTTGGGTTTGCTCCTTCTACTACCGACCCGTTGCTGTTTCTACGCACCGACACTTCTTTGCCGCCGTTCTACATCCTCGTGTACGTCGACGACTTGGTCTTTGCCACCGCTGACACTGCTGGACTCGCCTACGTGAAGTCGAAGCTGCAGAAGAGACACACGTGCACAGACCTGGCTG